TATAGTGTGACAACATGCCCCAACATGTGTTGACTGACTGTAAACCTGGCTATTCTAGGAAATATCCACTGCAGTAAAAAGTGGGACATACGCTTGAAAACAGCATTATAAGTCTTTCAGAATCCAATGATTCAGCTGAACTGAGCATACAGAATGAATAAGAACTGCCACAGACACAACCTACCCTAAATATATGCCTCATTGAGAGGCCAGAGAGTGACTACCCTCGGGCTCTTCCCCTTTTCCTTCGTGTACACAGCATGCGCCATGACGTCAGAGATCAGCTGACTGGTTTGTTTTGCTGGGCTTCACAGGACGAAGCGACGACACGCTACTGAAATAAAACGATTTCGCATTATTTAAAACATAACCGATTAAGATCTGTTCAGAGACAGAAAAGGAAAGAAATTAGGCAGGTTTGCCTAAAGAAAACGGTGTCTAATCTCATTTTAAACATGCCCTCGGAAAAGACATTTAAACAAAGGAGGACATTTGGTAAGTGCATCGAGTTCATATCATCAGAGAATTTATTTTCTACTGTATTTCTGGTATATGTATTCATTTTACATTTAGCATGACTCGTGTACATAAGCCTATATTCTGGGAAAGTTTATAATTGTCCTTTATATTTGTAATAGTATATACAGCAATACCCAGTGCCTAAAATACCTAAATATTGTAGTGATGAAACATTACAAATGTAATGCACGAATTTTATGCGATATAGAAAAATGGGTCGTGTTGTTGCACTACAAACAATCCAGTCAAACTGGGTTATAAGGGTGTCGGCCGTGTATGTTCAGACTATACAAACATACAGACTGCAGACGCATGACCATAACATAAACAACATAACGAGTTTCTCTTACCTTATTTACAACGTAGCAAAATCTATGTTGCAATGTCTTTGTTTGTGGGCAGATGTTAGCGAAACAGCGCGCTGCAGGATTGGGGGATGGGACTCGTCGTTTAAGGTTATTTGGAAGGACTCGAGTAAACAAACGACGATGCCGAATGAATATTCGTAATATTTTAATAGCTACTGTTCAAATAACATCGACATTTTCGAGATGTTTTTAAAAAAAAAAATCGTATTGCTGTCACAGTCATCACTGCGCTCAGTTATAGGCCCCAGTCTTATATCGGCGCTGAGTTATCTTTTTCATAACCGTTATCACTCTTGTTTTCCAATTTCCATCCCTTTTTGGGACTGAAGTGGAAAATAGCTGATAACATAGTGATTGACTTTTGACAGCATTTTAGCCTTTGTTTGTATTCATAACGTAGGCTACATATTTTATCGACACTTACATAAGAGAATATTGAAGTTTTTACTAAGGCCCGTCTCTTGATGTGAATAGTTATAAAACAAATAATATATCAGCCCATAAATTGCCTATCTTCAACCAATGTTGTGACAACCAGCCCAAACAAGCACATGTTAGTAGCGATGTCTTTCTAAAGTAGAATCGTATTAATAAACCGGTTTACACAATCGAACTAAAAAATTCGTTTACGAATTGAACCGAGCATGTTTGACTTCTTGATTCTATTACACGTTTTATGAACAGTTTTAATGAATGTCATTTTCAGATAAGAGGTGTAACGTTAAATGATCATTATATGTAGGTATGACTTTGTTTTTTTAATCATTTTTAGGTACAGATTTTATTAATAAAGCTAAATTAAGAAAGGATGAACCAGGTGTTCAAAACGAAACTAAAGAACCAATTTCGCGGAAATGGGTGAGGTTTAGTATATAGCCACCAAAAGTTACCACAGTTGCTCAATAATTGCACGTGTCATCATACATCAGAAGCATGTGCTCAGTCAAGTTTATGAACCATCACTCACAAGACCTCATATGGTCCCCAGACTGAAGTTTTATCTTGTTTCTTTGTGTCTCTAACTATTTTAAAACTTAGTTGGTCCTACAATATCAATGCAGTGATGTAGTTGTCTAGACTTGTCGTTTTATTGTTTTATGGTTGCTGCAGATACTGTCATGTCATGCTAGTTAGCTTGGTACACAAAGGCCTGCCTTGTTTCTTTTTCATTTCTGTTCATTAAATCGTTAAGAGAAAATGATGTGGAACAAATGCTTAAACAGCAAAGAAATAAACTAATATTCCAAGCAATTTAACTGGGAAGAACAGACATAAACACTGAAACCATTGTTGGGTGTTTTCTTAAAGGGACAGTTGACTGAAAACTAATATTTAATCATTATTTATGCACCCTCAAACGTATTCTCACCAACAACTTGCAACAGAACCTTCTTAGTTTTCGATGCCCTTCCTTGATCGGTTGAAACTGAACCACAAGATAGGACTAACAAGTTTAACGTGGACCTGTTAAAACGATTAAAATGGGTCCTTTGGAGAATTGATTGATACTTGAGACCCAAACCCATATCCAGCTCAGTAAAATGTCTGTGGTTTAATGCATTCTGTATTGTGATCTGCTGTATCTAATATCCGCTCCTACTTCCTCTTTACAGAGCAGCGGGTGGAGGATGTACGGCTGATCCGGGAACAGCATCCAAGCAAGATCCCAGTAAGCAGATTATATTTGTGTCTGTGGAGCTGGAGATGAAGATTAATAACCAATTAAAAAGGCTTGCACACATAGTATGCAAGTGTTCTAAAGTATCTACCAGTATTGGTCTTTATAATGGAATATTGTCATTAGAATATGGTCATATTTGTTCTGTTTGTTCTAGATGTGCCTTTTTTTTTTTTAGGACGTTACATAGTATTACCTATTTGCGTCCTATCCATTCACCATCACAAAACAGTAGACTAAAGTTCACTCACTCTAAAATGTAATTGTCATCATTTTCATGTTGTTTCAAACCTGTATGACATAAGTGACTTCTGTGGAACAAATAAAAACATATTTTCACAAATGCTTCAACTATTTTTGTTCATACAATGATCGTACATTGATCTTCATTGTATTGATAAAAAACTGAGGCATTTGTTAAAATGTTCTGTGTTCCACAGAAAAAAGTTATACTGCTTTAGAGCAACATGAGGGTAAGTAAATAATGATGATTTTCCAGTTTTTTGTTGAATTACTTGAACAAAATCAGATGGCCTTCAGATCAAGGTCATGATGTAAATTTTTTAAACACGCTCAGCTGTGTGTATTGAGCATAATAGGTTAATCTTATGGATAACCTCTAAAGGAAGCTTGTCAATAGACCTAGTAAAACAGGTAGCATATGAATGCCTGTGTTTGCATGTGTATATATAGGGCCTTTATCAGCCTCTTAAAGACCAGTCATTGCTATTATAGCCAGGTGTCACCTCTATTGATAATGCCTCAGGGTTTCCAGTCTCAATTGTTATTCAAGCTGACCAGGATAAAGTGGTCAGCTTCCCATTTGCTGAATAGACACAAACTACCACCCAGGGCAACTCCTTTGAATGGGAACATTTGGACACATTTTTTTTATTTATTATTATTATAAAACTTAATTTAAATGTTTTAAAACAATGAGCTGGACCAGAAAGTGGTCAAAGATAGTAAATGTAATAATAAAAATTCCTGGAATAAATGTCTATCATGCTTTCCATACAAATATGAAGCAGCACAACTGTTTTCAACATTAATGATAATAAGAAATGTTTTGAGCAGGGAATTAGAATATTAGCTTGATTTCTGAAGAATCGTGTGACACTGATGACTGGAGTAATGATGCTGTAAATTCAGCTTTGCCATCACAGGAATAAATTACAGTTTAAAATATATAATAGAAAACTGTTATTTTAAATTTTTATAATTTTACTGTTTTACTGTACTTTTGATCAAATAAATTCAACCTTAGTTAGCACAAGAGACTTCTTTAAAAACTTACTGACCCCAAACTTTTGAACAGTAGAGCACATACATACTATTTGGTACAATTTATCCAATTTAAATAAATACGCATATATGCTAATGTTTAGCTTGTTGGTTTTGTTTCAGGTCATCATTGAGAGATACAACGGAGAAAAGCAACTGCCGATTCTTGACAAAACTAAGTTTTTAGTTCCCGACCACGTAAACATGAGCGAACTTATTAAGATAATCAGGTAATATCAAGATAATACCTACTTCTTGCCTTTCATTATTAACTTCACTAACGCATCTCTGGTTCATGTGCATTTTCAATAGGAGACGCCTCCAGCTCAACTCCAACCAAGCTTTCTTCCTGCTTGTCAACGGTCACAGCATGGTATCTGTGTCCACCGCCATTTCTGAAGTCTACGAGCGCGAGAGAGACGAGGACGGCTTCCTGTACATGGTCTACGCCTCCCAGGAGACATTTGGAACTGCGTGTCCTCAGTAAAAAATGGCAAAACGATTGCCTTTCACTCTCGGACAATGATACAACCTACCCTGAACTCTTGTGACCTCTCCCTTGCAAATATCCCTATCCCCTTTCCCGTCCCCCATCCAAACAGGAACCAACTGAACTTTTAGTCATTTGGCTCACCAATCCCAGCCATTATCCAAAGCTAAATCCTAACTTCCCACATCTCAGCCCTTTAACCTCGACTCCCTCCAAATAATTTGAGTTTTAATAATGGAAGAGGAGTCGTTTGTGTTTAGGTTATAGGACAGGTTATGGTTAGTTGGACTAATGATCTGGATTTACTCAACACAAAGCTTTGAACGAAAGACTTCTGGGTGTAGAGATGGAATCATCTCAGTTTCTTAAGCGGTTGAATTTCTGAAATGGCATCTAGTGTAACATTAGGCGGCCAAATAGAGGTTATCTATCAGGTCCATTTTAGCTTGGAGGGGTCGCGTTCGCACTCTGGTGACCTTTAACCCCTCCCGCTGTTCGTCGAATCTCTTTATTTGTTGAGTTCGACAGCCTTTCCTTACCTGTAGGTGTTTTCCGCTGTTCCAATTTCCATGTTAGAAGCAATTCAGTCTTTTCACCTCCCCCTCGAGCTTTTTGCTAATTGGGTCATGAGCGTTGAGGTTCTTGGATTTCACAGCTCGGTGGGTAAGTCAGTGTTCGAAACGACATCCTACTTGCCTTGTTGACATTTGAAGTATGATCCAATGGGACGTACCTGAGGAAATAAATAGTAAGCGATTAATAATACAAGAAATTCTGCTTTGATTGTAGTGTGAAGCTTTAAAAGTGCAAGTTTAGGAAGGAAAATGTAATTATATTCAATGGTACACTGAGCGAATGAATGTGGCTTTAGCGATTGTGGCTCAAGGTAGTCAGGGCAGCTCAATCACGGACACGAGCGCTGCCCGAACATCCTTGCTCTTTTATGTGCACGCTTTTAGACTTTTCAATTTTATTAGAGGATTAATTACGCCTTTATAAATACACAACCGTGAGCTGTTGTACCCTTTCCATCTGTCTTACAGTAAACTGTACAGATAAGCTTATATGCCTTTTCTCCTGAGCATTTATTTGCTGTTTGTCTTACTCTTATTTAAAGAGATGTTATTTTTTCATTGTTTTGTTCATGTAAAAAACAATTCATATGTGCTACTATTGTGCAATTTACAAAAGTTACTGTTTGAATGAGAGTTTAACTTTAAAGGATTATCAACCCGTTATCGAAGTAAACTCATTTATGTATTTCTCCTGCTCAGATTTACAGCAATATCACACTTCTATTTCTGTTGATATTTTAAAAAATAAAAGAGAAATATGCATCCTGTCTGACATTTTCTTTGAGATTTTTTTTCTTAAAAATGTTTCTGAAAAACATTTTTAATTCATTTTTTAAAAAGTGTCAAAGTGATACATTATACAAAAATTCAATCAAACTTCATTAAACATTCACCTCAGAATACAAAATGGCTGCGTCAGCATTGTCGTTTTAGGTCAAACGCTTTCCTGCGATAATACTAGACATAATACATACAGCACGAAGTAATTCATGATCAGGCAACATGCATAGCCAGCGACCGCAAGCTCTTTGTAATTTAAAAACATAAATATCACCATTTGCTTTGAAACAGCAAAAATGTTTGACAATGAGAACAGAATGGCATCTATTGGCTAAATGGGCCTTATGGTGTAAGTCTGACCTTTTTCAATACTTGGAAAAATTTTATGCCAATGTAATTGAGAAACAACATGGAGAAACCCACGGCTCTGACCTTTGTAGTGTGACACTGAAAATGGTTTCCTCTTGTGTTCAGTTCTCAGTTCAGAAGCTAAATTTGTAAGTCTATGAAGCAATTTCTTATACAGTTTCAATAATGCTAGTGAATTAAAAAGCTCAACTTCAGCGGTCTCAAGTGCACTGACTGTAGAGACATTTTATCTGTGTATCATGTTGACATGGCACCTCTTAAGAGAATGTAATAAAAAAATATAATTCAAAAGTAGCAAATGTGTTTTCAAAAACCCAGATATTAAATACACCATGATTACAACAAACAGGAATAACACATGATGATTAAGAAGACTTCCTGTAGTCAAAAAGTAAAAAAATGACCTCAAGATGGAAAACAACATTTTCACTTTCACAATTGTCAGTTTCTCCTTCCTTTCTGAACTTCCAGAAAAAAAGACTGCCATTATCTTATTCCCAAAGGGTGACTTATAGTCACACCATGAGCAAAAAGACTTGGCCATAATTGTACGTTATTTGGTGAGCAAAATCTCGTTTTGCTTCCAAGAATGACATGTGCAGCGAATGTTGACTGATACACTATTGGATGCTCCACAGTGACTTGCTCAAGTGAGACGAACAGCGTGAAGAGAACTGAAGAACGCAAAGAGTGTTTGAGTTCTTCTTTGAACATCCTTTTACAAAGATCCACAGTGAAGTGATTCTTTGGCACAAGGCTTTCATCGGAAGCCATAACTGATGGAACTCCATCGCTCGATCCTCCTGTAAAGAGATTCTGTAATGTCTTTGCTCAGTGGAGTCTCACATCAAGTGTCTTTACACACTGAGGAAGGTGCAGGTCCAAACCAGTTCATTCGCACCATTTAGTCTCCTGAGTCCTGGCTGTCTGACTGCAGGGAATATTTCAGACGAAACGTCCCTGCAAAAACAAAAAGCAAAAATAATAATAATAATAATAACTTTTTAATATTTCTGAAGAAACCATGGTTGGTGTTTGCACACACAAAAGTCTTTGCTACAAAGCTAGGCTTATTTTTACTAGAGTATTGCTATGTGGTAGCTAAGGTGTTCTGAGTGATGTTATTATATGGTTGCTAGGTGTTTCTAGGTGGCTGCCATAGTTTCTAGGTGGTTGGTTGCTAAGGTGTTGATGCTGCTCTGCAGTTGCTAAGGTATTCTCAATGGTTGTTAGGTTGTTCTGGGGCTTCTTATGTTTTTTAATGGTTTTTGGTGCAATTCTCTATGGTTGCTAATGTTTGTGCAGTGATTTAATCCTCAATGGTTGCTAGGGTGTTTCTAGGCAGTTGCAAATGTGTTCTGGATGGTTGTCACAAATGTATGTGGTTCCTAATGTTTGCAGAATGGTTTATGGCACATAACTCAATGGTTGCTAGGGTGTTTCCAGGTGGGTTAGATGCATTTAGATGGTTGCCAGGAGAGTTACTATGCAGTTAAGGTATTCTGAATGTTTTCTGCAGATGAAATTTAGCTCTGTAGCTAATTCTGGGGCATTGGACTGTCCACAGTCATGGACTGTCCATTGTCCCTGTCTAATGGACTATTAAATAAAATAAAAATTTGGGTGGTTTTCAGGGTGTTGCTAAGAATCTATGAGTACTGTTTTGTTAGCATTTGTTTTATGGTTGTTAGAATGTTCTGAGTGGTTGCTAGGGTTATTCTAGACAGTTGCAAGGGTATTCTGAGTGGTTGCTAAGGTGTTCTGAGTGAAGCTACTCTATGGTTGCGGAGGTTACAAAAGTATTCTGAGCAGTTGCCATGGGTGGTTGATAGGGATGTAACGATTAACCGCAAGCCGGTTGAAAATCGATTCAAATACGTGACGATTCAAATCGGTTGAGATGCTAAACAAATCGCGATTCATTTAGAGGTAGGAGTTAATATGAATGTATGTTTGAAGGGAACTTACTGTCTTTAGAAAAGTTTAGATGGTATTTTTTCTTTTTATAATGCATATTAAAGTTCATAAGTGCAGCAATGCAAGTGCTATATTAGTATATTATTATAGTGTTATATTTCAATTTCACAAAGAAACGTGGAGCATTTTGTCCAGGCAAAAATAAAAGAAAACATTTAATTTATAATTTGTCTTACATCTCATTTTGTTAAAAAAAAAATTGTGAATCGAATCGTGAAATCAAAATCGTGATTCGATTAGAATCTAATCTTGAGTTGAGTGAATCGTTACATCCCTAGTGGTTGATAAGATGTTATGTGGCTTTTAGCATGCTACTCTACAGTTGCGGAGGTATTCTAGATGGTTGCTCGAGTGTTCTGGGTCACTTCTATGTACCTTTAGTTTTTTTTTTTTTTTTTTTTTTAACAAATAGGGTGTTCTAAGTGGTTGCTAGGGTGTTACTATGTGGTATGTGGAATGGTTTATGACTCCACATGATTTAGTGTTGCTTTATGGTTGCTAGAGTGCTCTCTGTAGTTACTAAAGTTATTCTAGACAGTTGCAAAAGTATTCTGGGTGGCTTCTTGGGTGTTGCTAATTTGCTCGTAGGATGTTCTGGGTGGTTGCTAAGGTGTTAGGAGTTTGCAAGCACTACTTGCATACAATGCTGTTACCTTGTTGTGCAGAGTCCATTGCTGGCTGCTTGCAGTCTTGTGCTCGATGCCCACTCAGCCCACAGTTATAGCAGGACACATTCCCTGTTTTCTTATGCCCAGAGCTTCCATTTCCCATCATTCCATGGGGCTGGTACACACCACCCCCTCCCCCTAGAAAACCCTGCACTGATGGAAGCACAATATTTTGTTGCGAGTCATGTGATAGACTGCTGTTGTAAATAGGTGGGGCCACCAGGGGGTAGGAAAAGGGGGAGGCGGTACCACTTCCTGTAAGGAGGGGGCTGAAATGAAGCAAAGGCCCTAACGTGAATACTGACGTTCCTGAAAACGGATGAGGAAAGTATCCGGCGTAACTAGCTGGAAGTGCCCCATAGGAGCCACAGTTACCGCTACAACCGCAAGAGCTACAAACGCACAACCAGTTCTTACGTCTGTGAGGGTCTTTAACCCGGTCGAAGGAAGTGTCACGTGATAAAGGGGTCATTGGACTGGAAGGAGCACTGGAATAGCCTGAGGAGGAACTGCTGTCCCGTGGAATGGGCAACGAGTTGTTCTCAACGTCTACTCGTAGCTCTTTACATACACACACAAAAAAAATCATAACCTCTTGAATTCATACAAATATATGGCATATACTATACTTTAAACTTTTGAATATTTTAATTTAGATGCAAATATTTTAAACATATTCATTAATTATTTTATTTTTCAGAAGTCTGTGTACAGTACCACTTCCAGAGTGTGCGTGTGTCAGGGGTCCGATATGACTGGAAGGGCTCACTCTGGCAACCCCACTACATGAAACAGGAAACTGAGATAGCACGTATCTCTTCTCCAGCTTCTCTCTGACAAGAAAACAAAAAAATATAATTTATTATTTTTTTCATGTACCATTTGATAATAAACAATGGCTGGATCATGAATGTCAACGATTTTTTTTATAGAACATAATTTCCCAGCAATGACACCTAGATGGCGCTGTGTACAAAAACATCCCAGCACTTACCGCATGTGCATTATTCTGCTAGTGCATCAGTTTGAAGCTTATCATCTATGTAGACTTTGATTTTAGAAACAAAAGTTGGGATGTGAAAAACTACATATTTTTTAAATATAGTCGGGTATGATTATGCTGGCTCAGGTTCTAACGGGGCCTTTCAGTTCAGGAAGTTTACAATGTTGAGTAAAAGTAAACACTATTTAAGTTTTAGCTAGTGTCAGAGAGAACCATTTTATTAAGAATGAGACATGTGAACCAGTATAACCTTTATTGTTGTTTCCAGGCATGGAAAACCTCCCGAGGATTATTTCCTGTTATCTGTTAAGATATCTTAGCTCCCACAGCTCCACCTGAGCAATGGAAACTTGCTGATGTGAGAAATGGAAAAAGAATTAGAATGGTGTGTTTTCACTGAGGAATAGTGACTTGCTCCACTTCCGTGCTGATCTTAAACTCTCGATGCCAAACTCTTAATCTGAAGGAAGTGATCTGCCCTGGAATTGTGGAAACTGACCATTTACCAACATTTAAATAATTGTTAAAATGCGACAAATATGGGTTACAGAAATAGTTTGCCCAAAATTGTTCCAAACCTTTATGCTATTATGTTTTATAACTAGGAAAAAAGTTTTAAAAAAGTACTCTACATACAATGCTGTTAAACGGTTTGGGGTCAGCTTGATTTTTAAAATGTTTTTGAAGTCTCTTAGGTTCACCAAGGCTGCATATTTGATCAAAAATTAGGGATGCACGATAGACCATTATTGAAATCGATCTGAAAAAAATTGTGCCGATATGCCTTGCCGATAAGAGGAATAGCTCACATGTGCTCAGGGTGTGTTAGCGATAAGATCACGTCAGCAGTGGCCCTAACGTGAATACTGACGTTCCTGAAAACGGATGAGGAAAGTATCCGGCGTAACTAGCTGGAAGTGCCCCATAGGAGCCACAGTTACCGCTACAACCGCAAGAGCTACAAACGCACAACGAGGAACTGGAGTTAGCGCTGTTTGCTTGCACTGAGGCGTAGCCGCTATTCTCTGTGGATGCTGGGCTAGAACTGGGCGTGACTGCAGATGTACTGTTTACACAGTAGGTGTTGCCGGGTACTGCCGCCATGGGAACGTTGCTGGTCGTTGCTATAGGAACTCCACTGACAGGCGAGAAGGAGGGTCTGGTGGAGGAACTCGATGACGGGCAGGAGGACAGGGTGGAGAAAGGGTACGATCCTGTGCGTGGAACAGAAGAAGACACTTGTAAGTGTAAGGGTGGGTGAGAAACATGATGGAGGGTGTTAGACGTGGAGGTGAGAGCAGTGCTGGTCTCCACCATGAGACCTGGAGGGGAGCGAAGCACTGTGAGGGGCCCACGGGGGACCGACATGTCCTGGTGCCCCGGAGAACCATCAAGATTCAACCCATGGAAGATGTTCTCCAGCCGGACACCCACGGTGACCCCAGACCCCATTGGTTTGGGACGTTCTTCTGAAGAGAGAGGGGGTGGACGAGGTTTGCGGGGAGAGCTGAGAACGCGGCCTGGGGAGGGGAGGGGCAAGGATGGTGGGGGCAAACTCATTTGGGAGGGACAGAGGGAGGGATCGTTCTGGACCGGTAGGACTTGGGCAGTGGGACGGCTGGGACCGGTGGATACCATAGGATTGAGGAGAAAGCATGACCGCTCTTTCTCACAAGGATCCAAACCAGACTCTAAACCTGAAAGGAGATATAGACCTAAAATGAAATGACATGCAATTATTTAATAATTATTTCACCTTACATTTTTAGGGTAATGAATGAACCAGAAGCATCACCAACCGCTAATAGACATTTCACTCATACCAAGGGAAAGAGCCACTTTAAGACATGTACCTCCTCCATGGTTAGCTGTTTGAAGACAGGGTAGTATTTATGTAACCGTAGTTTACGAAGCCAGTCCAGGATGCTGTTCTGCTCAGGGCTGGGCTGCTGGGACTGGGGTTGGGGTGCGGGGTTTGTGAGGTGCATCTGTGGTGGACTGGCCTCCCCCATGGCAGTGCCGGGGAGGATGGCCACCGCTGTCTGAGGGGGGAGAGGGGGCAGGTGTGCAGGGGAGCTCTGCAGGAGGGGCGCATGGACGCTTAGGACAGGCTGGATGCTGGCGACACCACAAATGGGCCTGGGACAGAGTGAGAGAGGGTTTATGGATGGAGAGAAGAGAGATGTGAGAGTGTTTGTGTTGAGGGATTGTTAAACTCACCTCGCTCCCCTATACTGAAGCAGACAGCCCAGATCTGCAAAACATGGAAGTGATAAAGTGTGATTAAGAAATATAGCTTGATTTGACATGACATGCCATGGGTGAATTTGTTTAAACAAAATGATACCTATTTAGGACCATTAAAATGTATTTTCAGAACAATTAAGAACTTCATCAAAAGCACAGTAAAAACAGTAATATTGTGAAATGTTATTACAATTTAAAATAATTTAATACATTTAAAAATTTAAATTTCAGCATCCATTACTCTAGTCTCCAAAGTGTGATTAGGAAATACAGCTTGATTTGACATGAAAAGATTCAACTGAATGGTTGAAAATTACAGAAACATATAACAGAAATAATCGAAATTAAAAATATAAAATTCATTTGAATAATACAAACATAAAAACAATTAACATATAATTTATATAAACAAAATAACTCCTGCTTAGGACCATTAAGATTTCTTTCAGTTCTTTAAATTGAAATCGTTTTTTAATTGAATATAAAACTCAAGAAGGTGCGCTCAGCAAAAATGACGCGAATATTGATGGTTTTCACGCTTAAGTAAAGTAAAAGACCGCTTATTAAACCAGAGAAGGTGAACGTGTTGGTATTCTTGTGGGGGGAAAAAACAAAACAAAACATGCAAGCACTGTCACCGGCAGCAAGTTTAGTTTTACTTTTCTTTACCTTTCTTTTTGTTTTGTTTTCATTTTGAAAAGCTTATCTTTGCTGTTTACCTCACCTTATGCTATGGAGGCTCTCTCTCTCTTTTTTTTTTTTTTTGATTCCACAGTGTTTGCTAAACATTCTGTAATTTATTAGTCATTATATAGCCTAATACAGCGTGTA